TTCCACCTCATTTGTGAATGTTGATATGCCCTAAAGGGACATGTGTTTTAGACACTAAATGACAGGTGAACACAGACCAGCATAAGGAAGTAGAAGTTTGGCCAGCCCTTGGTTTAGCTCTAGGTAGGAGCTCTCTCTTTCAAACTGTGGCTTTTACTTTTTTCATTTAGTTCATTTGCTCAGTGTCCTCTAGGTGTGGTGAAGAGATCTACATTATGGGACCTTTCCACTGATAACATTCCTTATTTTTAGCATAGTGGGGTATCCTACTGTAGCTTCAGAAAAAAGGCGGGTCATTGTCCTTTGTTTGCTTGGTGGCAGCAGTCAGGGCGGGGAACTTTTTATTAAAGTGTGATACACAAATCGTGAGTCTAGACTGACTAATTTTCTGAGAAGTGAGCACACTGTCAACCAATGGTTAGATCAAAAAACTGAAAATTGCGAGCCCCCTTGAAGCCGTCCTCATCCTTCCCCTTCTGTCCTTCCCCCGACAAGTGTGACCAATCCTGCCTTCTAACAACAGTGATAAGTTTGCCATTCAGTTTAAGGTTCTCAGTTGCCCGGGTTGTTGAGGAGTTTCTATGGAGGCTCGGTAGCACTTCTGCCAAGTCCTGCTTACATGGAGAGTAATTTGTTGCCCAAGGCCCTGATACTTTGCGATGCTCTCTGAAGTGCCTGCCAGTGTTGCCTTGCCAAAGGATTCCTAACCACGCCCTGGAGCTTAGTCACTGCTGTCGTAAAGGAGCCCTAGTGCTGTTCCGCTGTCCCTGCTGGCCTTTTCCTGTGCAGCCCCACTTGTGCTGCATTGACTGCTCCGGCTCCTGCTTCCATGGTTTCTTAGTGTTGCTTCTTCCTGTGCCTCTCCTCCATAGTTCCCCAAGGATGCAGCTGGTGTCCAGGCTGCATGGCCAGATTTTCCCAACGCAAGGCTTGGACTTCAGTTTTTTCCCCCCATAGATCGTTTTAATTGTCTCTACTGGACAAAGCTTACTGAGGTTATTTTCATGATTAGTTTTTAGTCTCTTGGTCAAAGTTGACTTAGTGGTTTAATCTCTATATTTTGTGGCTAAATTGGTATTTTGTGGTGGGGATAAAAATTGTCCTAAATTTATGAAATTAGGCATAAATTGAAGCATTTTAGTGCAGTGGGATGATGAATACATCAAAGTATAGATTTAGTTGCACAATGAGGGTAGCAAAAAATGTATAAATTTGGAAACTTTAATAAAACTTTTTTGTATAATTAATTTCTACTGGTTGAATAATAATGCAGGACATCCAGTTTTTCCCAAATGTAGTATTTCATACATACCTCTCTTTTTTGCTGTGCAGACATAAAACAAGCTTATTTTCTCTTTACTTCTACCCTGAAGTTTTGTAGCAAAATTCTTTCTATATGTGTCTGTTTCTTTTGGTTTCTAATTCTGTTCACCTGGTTTTTGGTCTTGATATTTAGAGGGAAAGCACTAGTCTGGACCAAGTGTGATATGAATTCATGCCATTTAGACTGTCACTGCCTTATGCTGTGCTGCCTCAGAAATGTTAAGTATCATTTGGTAGTCTGATACCAACTGGAAGGGAATGTTTTTGTTCAGGTCTCTGCTTGCTAGTGGGTGCCCGTTTGGCAAGGGAGTGCAGGAAGCCTTTGAGAAGGACAGACTCTCACCAACGGAAGAAAAACCCCTCCTATTTATTCAAAATATGAGTACCTACTATGTGTCAGGCACTTCTACTGTTGTAGAAGCTTGGGGTACGTCAGTGAACAAAACACTGTGCTTGTGCAGCTTATGTTCTTGCAGAGGTGACAGACAGTAAAGGAGATGGGGGATTGCTGGGGGTGGCTTGTACTTTTAAACAGCTTTCTAGGTTGGCCTCAAAGGCAGGGTGATAGGTGAACTGAAACAGATAGGGAGTCAACCTTGAGTGTTTCTGGGGGAGGAACATTCCAGTAGAGGAAACACGGAGCGCAAAGGCTGTAAGGCAGGAATGTACCTGATCCGTTGGGGACCAGCAAAGAGGCCCCAGAGTGGCTGGCACCCATGAAAGGAGTGGAGATAGGGCTGGAGATGAGTCTGAGTGATGAGAGGAGGTGGGGCCCCTTTTGTAGGGTTTCATTCTGTACAAGAGGTTTAAGCAGGAGGCATGTGATCTGACTGACTGTAAAAGGATCAGTGGTTGCTGGGTTGCTATAGACAGAATAGACTGTGGGAGGCAAGGGCTGAAGCTGGGAGGTTTGGGAGGGAGACTGCTGAGAGAGTCTAGGGAGGCAGCTTGGATGTGGGGAGGTGGCCAGGTAGAGATGGCGAGGACAGGCAGATTCTGGAAGTATTTTGAAGGTAGATTTGAAGGGCTTTGTTGGTTGATTGGATGTAGGATATGAGTTATGGGCCATCATGGATTTTGGTCCAAACAACTGAGTAATGAAGTCTTCACACACTGAGAAGGCCAAGGGGCAGGTTTTGTGGATGAAAAGTTAGAGCCCAGTTTTGGGATATTACATTTAGGATGTTGTTCAGAGATTCAACCTTTATTTTACCATTGTCAAAACCATTATATATAATTAACTTAAAAAAATCTTTATTAGACCATGCTAAAGTAAATAACTGATTTTGTATTAATTACTTATACCAAATTCATTGCTCAAAATCTTTGGGGTGGGCTGGTCATTTGAGAAGCTGAGCATTTCCTTTGTCTGACATAGGAATAAAATATTAGATGTATTTCTTTCTTCCTTTATCTTTCTTTGTCTTCTTTTTTAATAATGGAAAATTTTTGTTTCATTCGGTTCTTTATTTAGGGATTTCCAAAGTTTTCCTCATGAATGAAAAAAGTATTTTCTTTTCCTTGACTCTGTTAGAAAAATTATGTTTATCTTAGAGTAAAAATAATGGGCGGGGTGGGGGGGCGGGGGTGGGGTGGGGATCCGGAGAAGGGAATGCTTTGTTTTTCTTTTCCCTTTCTGGTGAATGACCATGGTTTTGTGTAATTAGTAGAATGTCATTGGCCTTGAACATTCCTGAGAAAACACATTTCTCTGTCAGGGCGGAGTAGTTGTTTAAAAATGCCCCTCTCCTCAAAATTCTTGTGTTTCTTCCTCTCTCCCTGAGGATACCTTCCTAATTCTCCCATCCCGATTTTCTCACAAAAAAAGATTGCAAATTACAGCCTGATTATATTGGGTCAAAAAAAATTACAATATTTGTTTAGAAACTTGAGGTTAAGAGTTATTGTGTATGTTAATTTTTCTTGAAGATTAAAGTCAGCTTGGAACTTCATAAAGAATACCAAAGTGGCTTTATGTTTACTCCAGCTGAGCTATTTTTGTTTTACCCTTGTTCCCTTGCCTTTAAAGTTAATGTCCTTTAATGCTCATTCTTAAAAGTTCTTAATGGATTTATGGCAGTAACAGTGTCCTTTTGACAATTAACCTGTGCTTCATAGCTGACATATAATTATTCGCCAACATGACAAAACCTGTCTCTACTAAAAATACAAAAAAGCCGGTAGTGTCACCCTGGTTGGGTGTGGTGGTGCACGCTGTAATCCCAGCTACTTGGGAGGCTGAGGCATGAGAATTGCTTGAATCTGGGAGGCGGAGCTTACCGTGAGTCAAGATCACGCTACTGTACTACAGCCTGGCTGACAGAGCGAGACTGTCTCCCAAAAAAAGGAAAAAAGTATAACAAGAGCTATTGTACAAGTAATTATTTTAACAAAAAATTTTCTTATTAACCGTTTAGCAATGTAATTTTTTTTTTTTTCCAAGACAGTCTCACTCTATTGCCCAGGCTGGAATGCAGTGGTGTGATCTCGGCTTACTGCAACCTTCCGTCCCCCCCGCCCCCGCCCCCGCCCCCGCCCCCACGGTTCAAGTGATTCTCCTGCCTCAGCTTCCCGAGTAGCTGGGATTATAGGTGTGTGCCACCACACCCAGCTAATTTTTGTATTTTTAGTAGAGATGAGGGTTTCACCATGTTGGCTAGGCTGGTCTCTAACTCCTGACCTTAGGCAATCTACCCACCTAGGCCTCCCAGAGTGCTGGGATTATAGGCGTGAGCCACCATGCCCAGCCAATTTTCTTACCATGGTGCTACTTTTTATCTTCTGTTGATTTAATTAGTGGTAGGAGTTAAAAACATTCTCTTGGTCAAGAATCTTATGTAAGAATAGTGCAGTATATATTCTGTACTATTGGCATTTCTCAAAGTAGCAGGTACAGTAACAAATCGAATGTCCTGAATGTCGTATATAACAAGCAGGCACAGATCTGTGCTCTCAGTAACCTTGTAAGATAAAGAATGTATGATTGGAGACCTGGACATGAGTATAAAAAAAAAAAAAAGAAAAAAAAAAGAATTTATTCTATGTTAGTGAAGGAGCAGGTGTATTAGAATAACAGTAGGGGAGAGAGGGAGAGTTAGTGGTGGTTAGTCCAAAGATTACCTGTTTTCCTGGTAGTAGAGAGTATTCTCGGCATGTAACTCAGCCTCTGTGGACTGGAATTTGTTCTTTCTGCTCAGGAGCCTCACAGAGTGGTTGTGAGGATCATTTGAGATAAGGTCTTATAAATTGCCTGGTGCTTTTGGGGTGGTAGTGTTTTTCTAAGATGGGTGAAGAATAAGAGGTATAAGGTGACTGTTCTTTAAGCCTCCTAGAGGTTGCCACAGTGGTTTCCATTTCCTTATCTGCTTTGAGTCTGTGGAAGGAGGCAGGAATTCTGGTCCGTGACTTGATATCCATGCATTTGTTCTGATGGCAGAAATCAATCTCGGGGCTGTCAATATGCACAGAAATGATCTGTTTTTTCACAGCCTGACTCATTTTCTCTGTCAGGCCTGTTTTTGGGCTATGTTCAGGAACAAATCCTGCTTGTTGATGAGCTGTGTCCTCGTCTGTTTACAAAAAGTTCTGCTGTTTCGTTAAGCTTGTAACAGATTCAGGCAGTGTTTGAAACCTGTCTTTCCCTTGTTTTAGATCTTTTCATTTTTTCTCCCATCTAGGATCTGCATCTCCAATGGATACTGAGGGGTTTGGTGAGCTCCTTCAGCAAGCTGAACAGCTTGCTGCTGAGACTGAGGGCATCTCAGAGCTTCCCCATGTGGAGCGGAACTTACAGGAGATCCAGCAGGCGGGCGAGCGCCTGCGTTCCCGTACCCTCACACGCACGTCCCAGGAGACGGCAGATGTCAAGGCGTGAGTACTGGTAGGGAGGCCCCTTTAGTACTGGGTGGCTTAGGGGCAGGATCTGTTTCTTCTTTCCTGCCTTGAATTCAGATCCAATCTGTGAATGACAGCCACTAGCCAGATTCTTGGGAACTCAGAAAGGTTTTATAAAAGGACAGCAGCCTTGGTTTGTTTCCCTGCTTCTCAGGTTTTCTAGCCTGTCTGATATCACAGGGAGAGATGATGAGCTGATATCACAGGGAGAGATGATCACAAGGTAGGAGGGGGTAAAAGAGTTCTGTCATGCTGAATCTGGTCACAGTAGTTCCTGCTTGGGGTCAATGACCGTTGGGTCATAAATGGCTCCTGTTATGTTAATACATATGGGCCCCACAGATAAGTGTTACCTTCAAAGCCAGAGAGCACTCAGTGATGAGGACAGGTTTTAAGAGCATTTGGAAGAAATTGATGAGCAGTTAGTGATGTGAAACCATCCAAGTGAGGAATGATTCTGTCTGCTTGTTTTCACTGACCTGGGAGGCTGCTTCTGAAAGGCCTTGGAAATACAGTGCCCCCAGCTGATTGTAGAACAGGAGAGTGGGTGAGCCCCAAGAGAGTGCAGCTGGGGAAAAGTGCTGACTGACTGGGCTGGCAGCCACTGCTGCCACACAGCATCAGTTGGGCTGTTGATTCCACAAACATGTGTTTAGGATCCACGCTGTGCCAGGTCTGGACTATCTCTGGGGCGACAACCATGAATTAGACATGGTTCTTGCTCTCAAGGAGCTTATAATGTGGGGAGTGGGGCAGAAAAAAACTATGCTGCTTTCCTTAAGAGATGTGATTTACTGATTATTTACTGTGTGTTACAAGCTTGGCTAGACTTAAGATTTTGCTTAATTTTCACAATCATCATTAGGCTACAATCTCCACATTACAGTTGAGCAACAAAGGCTCAGAGAAGGCAAGTAACTTCCAGATCACACAGCTGGCGAGTGGTAAAGTAAGGATTCATACCTAGTGAGGCTGACTCCAGAGCGCATACTCCTCTGATCATGATGGAAGGGCATGGGAGGATGGAGAGGGTGCTGCTACTTGTACCTTTGATGGGTCTGGAAAGACACTGAAATTCTGTGCAGGAAATATGGGAAATTGTCAGTCATCTCCTCAGTCTTCATTCCTTGAACTTGAGAAAGAACTAAGTGCTAGTGTTAATGTGGTACATTGTCTGCTCTAAGCATTTAACAGATGTCACGGGAGTATTATGTAGGAGTGGGCTACATTCTTGTTCTTGAGAGCTGAATGTTTTGGCTGCTCTGTCGAGTCAGTAAGGATGTTGTGGAAATTCTTCTGTAGGCCTCCCCAAAATGTTATTTTCTAAAATAACTAGTTGGTTTTGGTTCTGTTGGCATTGGTAAAGGCAAGTCAGAGGAACCCTGGCAGGGATTTTTCACCCTGCAGCCTTGCAGCTAAGTGCAGCCAACTGCTTCCCTACACTGCTTTCTCACAGCCCAACCAGCCTTTAGACACTTCTGCTAACTTGCCTTCCCTGTAGGCTCCTTACCTGCTTCTCCTGGCTGCCTACGGTTACCCCCAGTCTTGAGCATGCAGGCTTTGTGCTGTATGCAAAGATGCTGCTGAAGCAAAAGGCCCATGATGCCAGCTGAGTTGCTATAGTTATAATTTAATTGCATCAGCTTTACAACCTATTAAGAGCAAAAAGGGAAAATGTTTTCTTGGTAACAATTATTGGTCATGCTCTTTTTCTTGTAAATTTCCATTCTTTTTCATCTCTTTCTACCTCAAATTCATTATTTTAGGGAGGAGGAAGTTGGAATGTTGAAAGAATGGGTATAGGGTGGGGCAGGTGCTTAAAAAGAAACCAAAGGGCTGATGACTGTATTTTTCCATCTTCTTGATAGGCAGAGACATAAAGTGTGGTGTGAATATTTTAGTACATACAATATGAGGGCAGAAGAGAGAACTGAGTAGGAAAAATTTTCTTACATGAAATAAGTTTTGAAAGAAAATTCTGTCCTTAAGATTTTAGATTATAGATTTAAGATTGAAATGTTATGTGCCAAATTTATTTATTTGTCCAAATACACTGTGTTGAATATTTTGTTTTAGAGAATAGCTTTGGTAGCTTTTTTTATGTGTGTGTTTGATCTTTTAAAATTGTTCAATTTTTTCACACATAAAGAAGAGTATGCCTAACATATATAAAGATGTAAATCTGGGTTTGCAGCCCATGAGCTACATCCAGCCTTAAAGTTTTATTGGAACACAGCCAGGCTTATTTGTATTGTCTGTGCTGCTTTTGTGCTACAGTATGAGAGTTGAGTAGTTTTGACAGAGATCATGTCCCCTGCAAAGCCTGAAATGTTTACTATATGCTGTTTACAGAAAAAGTTTGCTGACTCTGGTATAGATAATAAAATGAATGAATACTCATATGCACATTGATCAACTGAAACAGAATATTGAGCTGGGTGCCGTGGCTCATGCCTGTGACCCCAGCACTTTGGGAGGCTGAGGCAGGTGAATCGCTTGAACTCAGGAGTTCAAGACCAGCCTGGACAACATGGCAAAACTCATCTACAGAAAATTAGCTGAGCATGGTGACACGCACCTGTAGTCCCAGCTACTCGAGAGGCTGAGGTAGGAGGATTGTTTGAGCCCAGGAGGTCAGAGGGTGCCCATCATCAATTGCATACCCCTCTTTTCTCATCAAATATGCTGCACTAGATTTTTCCATTCAGACTCTGAAATCAGACAACCTAGAGGTGTATAAAGGAAAAGCCAGTAGTCACTCTTTCTCCCTAACTTTGTCATCCAACATAACCAATGTTATTAATTTGCTTATTTTTTCACATACTTTTCCATGTTCATGCAAAGCATATGTAAACATTTATTTCCCCAAAGTTTTACAGCACATTATAACTCTCCTTGTGATAATACTATAAGATGTTGTTTAAGCTCTTACTGTTTGTCAGGCACCGTGCCACACACTTTATACGCATTATGTAATTTCTTTTAAAAATAACCCTGTGAAAGTGTTATGTGTGTTTTAAACTTGAGGAAAGTCAATAGTGAGTGGCCAGGCTGGAATTTCAAATCCAACTTAGTAAGAATTCCTCATATTTGTATGGTACTTTTCAGTTTCTGAAGGATTGTCATAGGCACTGTCCTGACTGGTCTGCAGTGCCTGAGAGGTAGGATAGGCATTTTTCCCCACATTTAACAGAGGAAGAAACTGAGGCTTGGAAAGGTGATGTATCCAAGATTTTCAGTAAGTGACAGGTGAGACTTGAACCCAGGCCTCCTGACATTTTATGTGCTTCCCATGTATGCTGGGAACAGTCCTTGTCCTTTTACTGTCCTGGAACTGGAAGGAGGCTCCAGCTTCTGTGACTTTCTGCTCATGGGGGACTGCCTGGCTTTTGGAAATTGAAGCAGGTAGAAGGCAGGGAACCTTCTAAGGATTTTTCCACCCTTACAGACTGAAAGTTTCTAGTACTGGCTTTCTTTATAAAGCCATCCCTACCCTAGATTCCCTGTCTCCTTCATCAGTCCTTTCTCTCCCTGCATATGCATCATATAAGCCATATACTGCATAAGCCACACACTGAACAGTTTCTACAGATGTCCACCACTTAAATGACCTTTCTTTTCTAACAATTCTAGTAGCTAATTTTTAAATTCTGAGGTTCTCAAAATCCTGGTATACGTTAAAATTATTTTGGCACTGGATACATTCTTATGTGTCTGATAAAGTACAGCACCATGGGACAAAATTTAGACATAGCTAACAAAATTGACCCAGCAATTCCACTTCTAGGGTTTTGTCCCAAAGATATACTGGCAAAAAACACCCAAGAAAACCCTGTGCACAAGGATATTCATTACAGCATTATTCGTAATAGCAAAAATTGAAAACAAATGTCCATCAGTAGGTGACTAGTGGAATAATGTAGTATGTCTATGTAGTAGAGTACTCTTCAGTAGTACAAAGGAATGAGAGTATACAGTAACATGGAGTGATTCCAGGACATATTAAGTAAAAAAGTCAGGGTAGAGAAAAGTGTTTAGTACTCTATCATTTGTATAAGAAAACAGGTGAAAGACATCCCATGTTCATGGATCAGAAGACTTAATAGTAATATATTAATATTCCCTAAATTGGTGTACAGATTCAACACAGTCTCTATCAAAATCCCAGCTGGGATTTTTTGCAGAAAGTGACTAGTTGATTCTGAAATCCATATGGAGATGCAAGAGACCTAGAATAGCCAAAACAATCTTTAAAAAGCAGAAGAAAGTTGGAAGAATCACACTTGCAATTTCAAAATTTACTACAGAGTCACAGTAATTAAGACTATGGTACTGGCCTAATGACAGACATGTAGATTGATGGAATGGAATTATTAATCCAGATAAACCCTTGTGTCTGTGATCAGCTGATTTTCAACGTAGATTGATGGAATGGAATTATTAATCCAGATAAACCCTTATGTCTGTGATCAGCTGATTTTCAACAAGGGTACTTAAACCATTCAGTGTGAAAAGAACAGTCTTTTCAGCAAGTGATGCTAGGACAGTCATGTCAAAAGGACCCAGAAACCAAGTTGAAGAGGCTTCTACTGGCCAAAGATGAGATGATTTGATCATCGATTAGGATAATTGCATTGGATTGAAACATATCAAATATGTTTAAAATTTATGAGTTTATATACTAAAACAAAACTCATTGATTGCCTTTGGAGAGTACTAAAGAACCAACTCATTATTCAGGGTAATTACATAGTTGATTTTAGAGTTTCTTGGAATGGAAGTATTCTAGCTAATAAAGATGGAATTAGGATACCACCATTTTGCAACCACTGAGGAGTAAATGGATCTAAGCAATCATCATCAAGACTGCAAATATTTCAGGTGGACATAAGCAGATATTAAATACCTCTTAATGTAAAGTATATAGTAATCTAGCCATAAAAATAGTGGTACCTCAATCTAATCAAACCCTTGGA